TGTAAAGCATGGCCCGACAATCGCAAGCCAGACCCGACAACCGGGGGGCTAGTAGTGCAACGCCGCGCAGCGCCAAGAACGGCGCGTCTGGTTTGCCCAACGGGCGTCGGCCTTCTAGGCTGGGCGCTTGAGAATGGGCGCATCAAAGATTAGGCTGGCCAGGGGTCCCTCTGCAACAAGAAAAGAAAGCCCCTGTGTGGGCAACTCTGTCCTTTTTTTGGAGGGAATCCGTGAAGGTAAACCGGCCAGGAAGGTAGCGGACGACTGGTCCTCGGATAGGCCAACAAGCCAGAAAAAAGGGTTTTAGAGGAAAAAACCAACAAACCGTTTCAAGCCAGACTGGAGAGTGATGAAGGGATTGGCATCGAGTGGTTTCTGCCAAACAGCAAAGGCAGCTGGCTGCCTGCTCCCCTAGTCCGCGTGGTTCAAACAAAGCTTTCATTTTGGCTCACCCGCGTCAGCAGCCCACCCCTTCAGCCCAGAACTCAGGATTGACGGCCAAGGCTCCCAAAGAGCCAGCGTCTTGAGTCAGGACTTCTGATTCCTGAGGCAAATTGTAAGTAAGAGGTTGTCCAAGGTTGAGCAGGAATCCCACGGAAGAAAACGCTCGACAGAATGGTTGATGGAGCTTAGCCAGGACTCGCGCCTCCTGACATAGGAGGCGAGCAAGCCCCTATTAGCAATTTAGGCGCTCTTTATTTCTCTTTTGGTGGCCGGAAACGTAAAAAAATGCTATGCGGGCATCCAGCGATGTGTTTTGCCAGCCTTTATCTGGGAAGCGGCCTGCGCATACCGGGGGGGGGCGTAGCACGAAGCCTCCATGACATGACCGGCAACCCCAAGCTTTGCCAATCCATTGTGGCAAAGACCATGCCACCCAAACACCGCTCAAAACACCTGTGGCCCTTTGCCAAAATCCCTGGCCAGTGACTTGAAAAGATAAAAATTGTCAGGTCCAAATCTCTATATGGCATTGAAGCCGCGCAACGATGACATGCCAAACCGCCAAACCAGATCCCTCCAACCTGTAAATTTGCGCACCGTTGGACATGGCACCTGGCTCGTCCAAAAAATGCAAGGCAAGCCCTCCAACACCACTATCTGCCAACACAACCAGAAAATCACGGCTGTAAAGTGTTGGGCAGGGATCCGCCAGACCACAAAAAAGAATCACCCTCTTCAAAAGTCGGGGGTGGTAACAACCGCGGCCATGTCTGCGCCCCTTCCGCCGGCTCTGTCACAGCCAGGGCGCGGGCAAAAAGAATTTCAAACGCCAAGGCGCTCCAAACAAAGCCTGAAAGCGTAAATCCTGAGAGCAGCAGAGAGGACGATGCCCCCACACCGGCCCAGGCTGAAGGGCTTGAACGACGGCTCACCTCCTAGTTCCAGTGTGAAAAATGGCGTGGAGTGCGCTGCTGTCCAGCCGTGCAGTATGATGCGCACGTCTATGCTGCCTATCACAAGAAAGCTAAAACCTGCATATGTCTAGGAAGCGGTCGAAACTGCGTGCAAAAAGCCGCGCAAACAGCTGTGCGGGAACAAAGTCCTACCCCATGAACGCACAGCGTGTTTCTACATGAAAAGGGCGCAACGCAGTTGCGAACAATGAATCTAATAATTCCAACCTTCAAACCGGGACCAGGACGTGGATACTTCAAGCTTCGAGACCAAACCAGTCACAGCCCAGAATGGGATGAAGGTCTAATTAGGCAGATGGTGGACAAACTCAGGGGGGGCCTGTCAATCCTGGATGTCTGCAGCAAGTCCAGTCCAAAGAGCTGACCCTCAAACAACAGAAAAACTGACCTGTCAACGACAGTAAGGTCAGGACCTGCAACTCCTGACCCTGATCGAAACCCACGTCCCTTGGGCAGTAGTTTTGATGTGATTTCATTATAAACCATTGAGAAAGTTAGAACTATCCGACCAGTTCGTGCCAAAGTGATGGCACCCCCCCTCAAACACCCGACCCACTGAATCCAAGTGGCCAAGCGAAGGTCTTTGGTGAGACAAAGCGGCCGCCGGCGCAGTGCCAGGCCAAGCTGCCCCACGCCACAGCAGCGCCGCCGGCGCCAGGCAAGCACCGCCTTCCAGGTTTTGACCGGCTCTACGCACGAAGCGACGGGACCAGGCCGGCGGTGACTCGAAGGAAAAGTGGCGGCAGGTCTCCTACGCCCTTGAGGGGTCGTGGCCCGTGTCACGCCCACCACCTCCCCCACAGAAAGCTCCCAAAGCTTTGGAAATCTTTTTTTTGAAGCTGATGTTGCGACAAAGGATGTCTTGCGGCACCACTTGCGAGTGGTTCCGGCGCATGAAAATCGCGTCTTATTGTGGCAAATTGTCGGAAAAAAGGATGCGTACAAACATCTCTCAGGATTCAATCACTTCTTGTCCTTCTCTTTCTTGTCTTTCTTGTGCTTCTTGGAATCCTTTTTCTTCTCGGTTTTGTCCTTATTCTCCTTGTCGGTCTTCTTGCTCTTTGGCGATGTCTCATACTGGGGCGGCTCCGGCTCAGAGGACGCACCATCAGCAAGGTCAGCCTCTTGGCCCTTGCGCTTTCGCAGAGGAGCGGGTTTTGTCAAACCCAAAGCCAAGGCTCGCCGTGCCAGCTCTGCGTTGCCCAACGCCGAACCGCTGATGGGCAAGTCTTGGGCCAGCCGGGATCGGAGCTTCTCCAACTCAGTCTTGTGGAGCTCCGTCTTCACAATGGCAATCGTTGGCAACCCCAGTTCCTGACTGTTAACCGCGCAAGGTGTGTCTAAACAAATGGCAGCATTAATTTTCAGGCGAGGTGGAATTTAAACCCTGCAGCTGGCGCCCCAAAAACCTAAACAATTTTCCGCCCTGTCCAAGCTAAGAATCAAAAAAAACCGTAGATTCCAGACCCAAGCGCCGGGGAAGCATGGATACACCAGCGGGCGCCGCATTCGCGCGCCAATTCCTTCATCAGAAGGGCACTGTTGTCATGCGCAAAGAGGAGCACCTCATCTGAGGATGGCTGCCGGGTCAAGGCGGTACCTCGCTTCGGGTACTTCCTCTTCTTGACCGTCGTGTCTGCTGGCTCACCGTGCTCATCGTCACTGCCTGACTCCGCCTCAACATCAAAGGCCTCCACCACACACTCGCTCTTCTCGTTCTTCGAGAAAGCCTCCCAGCAAGTTCTGGAAACCAAGGCAAGCTCACGCGCTGTCGCGATAGGCACCTTCAAGATGCTGTCTATGTATGTTCGGGATCCCGCATCCACAAAGAGCCTCGCCTTCTTGAAGTCCCTCGGCGCCTGTGGAAAGGGACAGGAGGCAGAATTTCAAAAAAAGCGCAAGCTGTCCAACAAAACACGTTCCTAGGATCCTAGTTGCAAAGATCTTGCGCAAAGGCCTCTGTCTGCAGACTCTGAACGCTTTACGCTTCAATTTCTCTGAAGGCGCCTGACCCTTGAAGAAGAGAAAAAGCTTCTCAGCGGTGCCAGCGTTCCCGAGACCGCGCATCCTCGTGTAACCCATTTCCTGCGTCATCTTCGCATCGTAGTTCAACATGAACTCTTTCTTGGACCACTTCAGGGCCCGGGTGACTTTATTGATGGTGTCCTCGTTGGAGCGAACCTTGCCCCCCCATCACACACACGACGTCGCGTCCTGGAGTCAACCTGGCACAATGCAAGGCCGCTTTGCGCAGTCCGCCTTTTATCTTCTGAATCAACTTAAACCCTACGCACCCTAGTCTTTTGGAAACTGCTGGGAACAACAAAGAATAGAAGCTGGACAATTTCAGGCAGCAGGTTTCTTGTGGCCCCCCACCCCAGGCCAATTAAGTTGAGCAGCAACCCATCAATAGCCTTACAAAACTGCTGGAATTCTTCCTCGTCAATGAGAGGAACCCGCTGCCACTTGCTCTGCGTCGCATAAATCTTGGGCACGGAGCAATTCTTGGGATCAAAAAAAACCCATGCGCCTCTCAGTGGAATCCACCAATGAATTCCTCAGCAACTCCGTCAAAGCGGCAGCGGCTGGTGCGCTTTGCACTACCGTCACCAAATGCTGGGACAAGAACTCCTTTGCACGAACATCACTGTCGGCTTTGAACTTCGCAAGGGTGTCTTTGCAGTCCGCCTGCACACTTTCCCCACCCGCTTCCTCTGAGACCTGGTGGTCTGTTGCCTGGGTATCCGCACGTTCTGGCTCGAGCTCCTTGAGGGCGAGGTCAAAGGGCACCCAGAACTGCTTCTTCACATTCTCCAAGCCCTTGGCGTGGTCAGCCGTGGCCCCGCCCGCTGGTGGGCTTGAGAGCAGGCCTTTGATGTCAGAGTTGTACTCGCCCGACAAGACTTGCTTCATGTGGTTGACTGCCATGCTCAAAGGTTTTGGCAAGGCTGCCACCCAGGACAAATCCTTCACAGCTTGCAAAGGAAACTCATCATGGAAGGTCAGCGGAGACATCAGGACACCCTTTGCCCGCTTGAGGATCTGAGGCGGCACGTTTGTAGAACAGGCGCCTGAGCAAGAAGCCCACAATTCTGTGGCATACTTGCGGGCGAACAAGCCAAAGGACAACTCACCAGCTTTACTGCGAAGTTCCGAGAGAGAAGGGTTTTCGGGCGCCTGGGAACGAAAGAGCTTCATGGTCAGAAACTCTACAGCGAAATCAAAGTCCTCCGTGTTCATGCTCCTCTGCGTCATCAACAAGACTTTGCTGTACTCATCGAAGCACGTAGTCCTGCCGCAGACAACACGGGCAAGTTGCATTGCACTCCTCGCCCGATGGGAACGGGAAAGCCACTCGCCTATCTGCAAAAGCTGCCCGCACGTATCCGGCTTCGGGCAACGCTTCGGGTCAGCCCAACGGATCTTCTCTCGCAGCCATGCACTGATGTGCTCTTTGGTCACCTTGTCGGTCACATTCCGCTTCTCTTCCTCGACCTGCTTCTTTGCATTCAGCACAACCTGCACGAGTCTTGCGCAGTCAAGGCCAAAGTACTCCCGCAACTCCTCAAAGTTTTCGCACAATGCTGTTGCACAAGCGAAGCGCTCACCCTCCGTCGCGAAGTACTTGAAAGTGAACGGCACATTCCTACACACAGGGCAGCTGAAAGGGTTACTGATTGGAAACTGATGGGAGAAAAAACTGGAGACAGGAGTACAGAAGACAGAACACAGGCCTGCAGAAAACAATTGTCAAAACAACTTCTCCGGCACAGCGCTCCGCTAGTCCTGGCCAGGGAACGGAAAGCTTCCAGGTCTGGCCCTGGTAGGCCATCCTTCTTCGCCATGGCAAAGGCGTACCAGAAAGCAGCCACGGCAATGTCGCCACCGTAGCGCTTCCAAGTTGTCTTGGGAGGCAAGTCGTCCTTCTGCATCAAAGCAATGGGGATGACGATGCTGGGCCACAAACGGGGCGCTTTAGGCTTACCATCAGCATAGAACCTGGCCTTCGCGAACTTTTCGATCAATTGCAAGGAAAGGGTATCCCCATCAATTGACTCGAACAAGGGCACCGTCCAGCAGATATTGCAGGCGACATTGCGCAGCTCCCGTTCGCCCACCTGCAGCGCATTCACCACCTTCTCAAGTGAAAACGCCTGGCCGATGGCTCCATCTGACTGCCCTGGTGGGGTCTTGGTCTTCAGCGAGTCGAACTCAGAAGCCACGTGTGCCCAAACCTCCTGTTCTTTCCAAAGCATGTGCAAAAGGTCTTTTGCCGACGCTACGAGGCTGCCAAAAAGAAAGGAAGAAAGATAGACTTTAAACATATAAACAAGTCTGCAAGGCACCAGGAATATATGAAACTTGATGAATTTCGCCGAACCGAGGTGCTGATGCCCAACCTTCAACCGACCCCATGGCGACACAACGTCGCGAGCAAGGTGGCGGCTTCGTGCAAAACCGAGCTTGAATCAAATGTCCCCGTTGCAGGACGCCAGGTGCCATGTGCACCGTCAAATTCTAAGCTGAAAAAACTCAGACCTTTCGAGGGAAAGAATCATAAGAATCAGTGTCTGGGGAACCTCACATGGGATGTCAGGACAGGAAAGTCCTGGCGTGTCTTGTTCCTGAGCGAAGAGCAAAAGTACCCCGACAGTCCGGACGCCGGGGTCTGCCTGGATCCTGGCTGGAACTGCTCCGCTGCAGCACCGGCACCTCCAGGATGAAAGTGAAGGGGGGGTCAAGTGGCAACTTCCCACACGTGTCTGAACAAAAAGATTGTTGCTTTGTCGTGCTGGGCAATGAAATGCTGTAGGATGGAGTTGGGTTCCAGTTGCTGGGAAGAGCGAGGGTGTGTTGGGTTGTCGTCCCTGGGATTTGTTACTATAGCACCGCCCCTGGTTTTCAGGGCAGCGTCTCTTCTCATTCGGTGTCATGGGGGTGGGGGAAGGTACATGGGGGAGAGAAGACTTTCAAGAAGCCTTACCCTAGGCTGACAACGCTCTAACAACAGTGGTGGTGCACTGCTCCTCAGCCACTTCGATTATCCGTGCTAGGCTTAGCAAAGTTCCAGCAGAGTCACCATTTCGTCCTCACCATCTACGATCCAGTGAGCCTACAGGAATGGGAGCCTTAGCTTCTCGTTCCCACAAGGCGGGTGGTAGAGAATGGTAATGGAAGGCGGCCAGGGGGAACCTTAGTTACTCTCTGGGGCTGCCATGTGATGGCCATTTTTTGTTCAAAGAGGCACAAGCACCATGCTAGGATAGGTCCACGGTTTCACCTGTTTCACACGGGCCTTGCACGTTACAGGAGGATGTTTTCACGTTGGCGCCTCTCCTTCTTTCAGGAACAGAACATCCCTCTTGGGCACTTCTTGGATGCCAAGGGGTGCAAAGGAGACCTCCCTTCGGGGGGGGAATGCAGCACCCTTGTCAGCAAGCTCTCTTCGTTTGCTTCTGCCTCCACTGCCTGACCACTGATATGCCTCTCGCTTCGTTCGTGCAATCAGTTGAATGGGTTGTGCAACGAGAAGGGACTTTTCCGCGGCATGCTATGCAGAGCAACAACTGATTTCCTTGGGCAAGAATCAGACCTGCTGACAATCAGAGCAGCTCCTGCAAAGCGCCCAATTACCACGGTTTGCCACTCGATGCAGTGGCCGCTTGGTCACAGTTTTGTGGGTGGGGCGAAGCCCCTTTGATTGGCTTCGTTGCACTGATTGTTGAGGCCTAATTTGACAAAACCTCTCACCAGAGTTGTTCAGGTGCCCCAATGCCCTTGCCTGGTGGCAAGCAAAAAAACCTCATGGCCCTCCAAAAATTTCAAGGAAGAATGTCGAAGTATGTTGAAACGTTGGTGGGCAAACCCAGGGGGCCTGTCAATCCTGGATGTCCGACGAAGGTCCACGAACACGAAGCCAAAGCCGAAGAACTGACCCTTGAACAAAGCAAAGCTGCCCCTTCAAAAAACAATACATTGGGTCAGGACCTGGAACTCCTGACCTTAATGGAAGCTCAGCTCGCATCCTGCTTGGAGGGTGAATCTTATAGCCTTGGAAAGCCCCTTTGGCAAAACCAAGGTCCTGCAAAAGTCATGGTTCTCTCCTCAAACACCCGACCCGCAGAATCCAAGCGGCAAGAAAAAGGTCTTCGGCGAGACGATAGCAGCGGCCGCAGGTGCCGTGTCAGCCCAAGCAGCCGCGCGCAACAGCAGCGCCGCCCCAAAATGGGCCCGCGCCGATCGGAACAGGAACAACAGAGTGGAAAAAAAAGTTGGTTGATTTTCTCTTTTTCCTAATCGTGCCACTTGCTGTACCCACATCAAGCTGGGTCACAGCTTTCCGGTGCCTTCCCGGGACCTAGCGCCTTTGGGAAATCTTTGGCAGTAGTGTTGACCTGCATCGTCTTTGTCAGACTTGAGCACTTGAATGGATACAAAATTCACGAAAGCATGCAGTACAACTAGCAAGTGGTTGGGGAACTCTAGTAGCTGGCTCCTTAGCTCCACCCTGAGCGATGGCTAGTTAGGAAGCCATGGAAGCTGAGGAAGAAGCTGAAAGCTTGGGGCTTCTCTTGAGCTGAAGATCTGAGGCTGCAAAGCAAAAGGATTGCTGAGAACTGAGAACAATTACAAAAGGAAGCTGAATACAATCTATGAAAGGAAAATGAATACTACAATCAATTACAAGAAGGAATTCTCACAGGAATCCAGATTTGTTTTGGTGATAGTTTATTATAGAGGACTCCCTGTTTGTTTGAGGGGAGGGGGGGGCCCCCCTTTACTAATCAGGATCCAACATTAGGGCAAAAAGTCGATCAGCCCTTGAGGAACAAGCGGTTCTTAGAGGTGACCGAAGGTCACCAAGACCCAGGTTGGTTGATGAACTTACCGCACCTGGGACGCGAGTGGACGAAGGATCTTGCTCCGTTCGTTGCCGCGATGCCCTTGGTTCCAGCTTCGTGTTATATAGCTGCAAGGCCCGGAGCCAGCTAGGTTCATAGCATCGATCCTTGCTCTCGTGGTTTTAGGGTTTCCAAACTTCAAACCCATGGCCTCCTTGTGCAATTCCACCTGGACCTGGCGCCGCTCTCCCGGATCGTTCCGCCGGGCGGGCGGGTGGAGTGAACTATGTAGAACTATGTAGAACGATGACTTGGCTGTTTACCGCAGGAATGTTGGATCACATTGGCCACTCTATCCCGAATGAAAAGCAGAGAGATGTGTCGACGAGCGCTTGTCAAAGGATGTGTCGAACAGATTTGTTTTCGATATCCCGAGCCCAGAATGGAAGTCTAGAAGATTCCCAACGCATTGTCAGCCGTCAGCGCTGCAGTGTCCACAAGTGGAGATGTGTATATACTACGGAAAAAAGGATTACAAAAGGACGCATGTCCTTGCCCAAAAAAGCAAACAATCTCAACCGGTGACTATTTCAAGAGAACAGTATCGGATTCTAGAAAAATAAGTATTAAGAAGTAGAAATTGAACCGATTGAACAGCTTTGTAATGTTGAACAGTAGTGATTTCCAGGGAATGGGAAGAGTATTTTTCAGAGTATAGCTAGTACTTGCTTTTCCAGAAAAGTACTGACAAGTAGACAGTATCAAAAAGTAGAGATGTTTGAACGAATCGAAAAAAATGTCCACCGTCCGAACAGCCTCCTCCGTCCAGGTTGCATCATTGGCTGCCAGGGCAGTCGCCTCCTGCACCTCCTCGCCAAGTCAAGTGACGGCCGGCCACAGTGACGGCAGGCCACGTGTTTTCGGCCAAAGAGAGGAGCACCAGGTGAAGCAGTGGGCTGCAATTGCGAAGAAACATGAGATCTGGAAGAGAAACTGCAAGTTGGAATCAATTGCTAGAGGTAGTTTCCAACAAAAGACTTGGATGCTGCCTGACATGAATATGCCCAAAAATCAATCGTATAGGCCGTCTTGCACTAGTGATATAGTGTCTATCTTCGGCGCCCACAACCTTTCAGAAAACCACCGGTTTGCTGCTGATCCATCCGCAGCACTCGCCTCAATTTGCAAGGCCACTTCTTCAGCTTGAATCTCAAGAAGCTCCTGAAGCACCAGCGGCGGGTTCCGCACGGCACGTGAAAATCACCAACAGATCACGAAGTTGATCACTCAGATGGCCCCGGTTAGTCACTCACATCCTTCCATTGTTTCCCCACTGGTCTAAACGGTTTTCAAACGCATGAAGAACCGAAGGAATGGTGGGCGTTCGGAACGGAAGCTGCCTGCCGTTGGGCCAACCCGGTGGCTAACCCGTTCCGGTGAACACGAGAATGCGCCATGGCGACCGGTCGACCGGTCGACCGGGCGCGGAAAGAACCGTTGCCGTCGTAACCTGCCACTCTGTCGTAACTGGCTAGTTTTCAGACCGAAACATGAAATCATTTCAAAGACCCCAGCTCAGCCAATCCTCAAAATGCTGCTGACCCCCACCACACCAAAAGAAATAAGATGACGAGTCTGATCCACGGGGGGCTGGAATAGTGTTTCGGCCGGTTTTTGGGACGTGAAAAAACACGACGCCTTCACCTTCAATTCGCGCGTCAGTTGTTCTTGCAGGCGCCTTAGCGTGTTTCGTCAGAAGAAGCGGAAAGGAGGTGGAAATCAGATGGCGACCATGATGTTGAGTACATTCATCAACAAGTGAATGAAGACGTGGCGAAAAAAAGGTGGCAGGCGCATACAACTGGCACCTCCTTGATACCCCTCCAAGGAGCTGAATCAGGAGAAATTTCTTCACGGAACAACTTTAAATTCTACGAGGGGTGCCAGTCCATGCAATCTGAAAGCCTGATTTAAAGTCAAAATGACCTAAAGCGCGAAAGGATGTATTCAGCTCTGCCATCAAACCCTGGATCTGTTTAATTAGGTCTTCAATGTCTTTACCTTTCTCCATTCTCAAAAGGAACTACAGGCGCTACGGGTGGATTGCTTTTTGGAGTAAATCTTGATACTTGATTTCACCACTGGAAAACCGTTTGCCGGCTCAAACTGCTGGAACGGAGAAGGAGACTTGACTTTTCTTAGGAGCAGGGTCATCAGACACAGCCAATCAGATATATTTTTTTCAGGCTGCCCATAAGGACACTCTTGTGGCATAGTCTTGTCACCCAGACAGGAAGATTCACTGGGCTTTG